TTGATTCCAGTTGCTGATAAACACATAGGATGTTTTTTTTTTTTTTTTTCTGGTGCATTCAATGTCGTTTACAAGGCATGCTGATTTTAGGGAAATTAAAATGTAGCTTTTTTTTTTTTTTTTAAGAATTCTCATCCAAAGATTTTGATTCCAGTTGCTGATAAACACATAGGATGTTTTTTTTTTTTTTTTTCTGGTGCATTCAATGTCGTTTACAAGGCATGCTGATTTTAGGGAAAATAGCAAAGACATAAAAGTCAAAGTATGAGATTGGATTATTTCTCTCCATTAAAAACCAGATCTGACACAAATTCCCTAAACGCCACCATTGCCGTATAAGGTCTTTGTGGTGCCAATATTTGGTGAGCAGTAAGGAATACTTACTGGCAGTCCATACATTCTTCACTCTGCTTGTTGGAGAAGGTTATTGTTATTCACGTGATGGATAGAAATGCAAAATGAGTTCTCTGAGAGACCATAACCCTGCAGGTCCATAATTCTTCTCTGACAGTACCACATTAGTCATTTTAGTGACTTAATTTTTGAACCTGTTTCTGTCTCCCTGAAGGAACAAGAGAAATCCTATGTAAAATGTATCCAACCTAAAAAGAGGCCCCTCAGCTCCTTGCCTGAACTAAGATAAATTAGAGACATGGAAAGGAGACTGTTATCATGGCTCAGTGGTATGGAGAAGCACACCTAAATATTTCCCAAGGACACGATGAGCATCTTTCTATGACTATTTTAGAGAAAGGGTCTGCAAACTCCAGCCCATAGGCCTGTTTTTGTACAGCCTGTACACTAAGAATGGTTTTTACATTTTTAAAGGGTTGTAATAAAAACAAAGAAAAATATGCGACAGAGACCATATGTGGCCTATGAAGCCAAAAATATTTCCCATCTGGTCTTTTACAGAAGTGTGCTGACTCCTGTTTTAGAGCAACCTGATGAAATCTCGGGAGATGACTCAGCCTACAAAACCACACATCTGAACGCCTTGATGAGGGGTGATTATCCATGTGGCATAGGAATTGACTTGATCCACAATTAAGATAAACTTCAACCTCTTCCTGTCTACCAAAGACATCACTGTCTGCAAGACAGCAAGGTCCCTGTCTTTGACATGTTTTCACTGATTCTAAGACCTCAGACAGTATTAGAAAGGACTGTTGACTTAAACAGGAGCTTAAGCCAATAAGAGGATTTAATATTTGCGGGGATCCCAAAGAATCCAAGGGCAGAGGCACTGCAAAAGTGTAGGAAGTCTTGGAATGGGAAAGTAGAGAACTGTTTTGGATTACGGTGGTTTTAAAATATGCCTCCAAATTCTTAGATACCCTTGCTTTCACAAGGTGGAGCTTAATTTGCCCAAGTATGTGCTTACTTCTAATTAGTCCCTAAGGATTAGGGACTTGCTTCTAATTAATAGAATGTGGCAGAAGTGATGGTATGTCACTTTTGAGATTAGGTTATAAAAGGACATGCTTCTGTCTTGAACGTGTTTTCATTCTCTTGGGTCACTTGCTCTGGAGGAAGCCAGTTACCATGTCATGAGAATACATATCAGCCTACAGAGAAGCCCACATGGTGAGGAACTGAGGTTTTTGGCCAACAGTCAGTAAGAAAGTGCCCAGAGCCAGTCTCCCCAAAGAGAGTGTACGTGGGGGAGGGTGTGGTGAGTATACAGGGACATAGAGCTGAGTAGGATCCACAAATACTATGTTACATAGATTTGTCCCACCTTCAATCAGCCGTGGGTGTGAAGGACCCACCAGAGGTTGAGTCAGTTTTAATGTATTTTTGTTCTTTTCTTTTGGCAGTCTACTTTTATCTTCATAGATTGCAGCTCTTCATGTCCAACTCTGTCCTTCAAATCCTCCCTCTTTTGTGGAAACTGATTTTTAGTTTCTAAGTCCAGAACAGTGGGCTTCCTTCCAAGAAATGCCAATATTGCCTACAGAGAATTACCTTCTAGCAATTTAAGCTGTTCACCACTGGCACTCTCCCTTTGCCCTTCTCCCTTTCTCACCACCTCCCCTCCATACTTACCTCCCTTTCCTCTACTTCATGGGTCCCTCTTCTATCCATTCCCCATTTTCCCTGCCCTGTGCTCTTTGGCACATCACTGCCAGCATCCCACCCTGCCTCCCTCCCACCTCCACACCCCTACACCTTTAGCTCAAAGAGCCATAGATGTGAAATGTCATCCCTCCTGATCTGATCCAGCTTCTCAAGTGTACAAAGGAGGGAACTGAAACTTACGTAAGAGGAATTTCAGAAACATTCCCGTTGATGCTTAGCATCAAAACATGTAAAGCGTGGTTTGGCCACCATTTATTTTCCATTTATTGAACACTTACTATTACTGTGATGTAATGAGAAATATATATTTTATCTTCATCCCCAGTTCCTGGCATAGAGCTCCTAAAACTCCTATAATTTCCTGAGTCATAGGGGTGATAGGCGCATCATTTGTTATTCATAGCAAGCCCCTGAGTTTATGTTAATGAAGTGACTCTTAGTGGGCTCCCAGATAGCTTCAGGAGGGGGGATGATTGTCAGAGGACTCAACTATGTGATTAGAGCGTTGGAACTTTCAGCCCCACTCCCTGACCTCTGGGGAGGGGAGAGGGCTAGAGATTGAGTTAATCACCAATGGCCAATGATTTAATTTATCATGCCCACGTAACGGAACCTCCATAAAAACCCTAAACGATGGGGTTTGGAGAGCATCCGAGTGGTGAATGGACGGCACATCTGAACTCCATGGAAGCTCCTGTGCTCAGGACCCTTCAGGCCTCACTCTATGTACGTCTTCATCTGGCTGTTCATTTGTATCCTTTATGATATCCTTTATAATAAACTGATAATAGTAAGTACACTGTTTCCCCTGAGTTCTGTGAGCCATTCTAGCAAATTATCAAACCCAAGGAGGGAGTTGTGAGGACCCCTTTACTTTATAGCCAGTTGGTCAGAAGTACAGGTGGCCTGGACTTGGAATTGGCATCTGAAGTGGGTAGTCCTGCGGGACTGAGCCCTTCACCTGTGGGGTCTGATGCTAACTCCGGGTAGTTGGCGTCGGAATTGAATTAAATCGAGGGACAGCAAGTTGGTGAAGTTGGAGAGTTGGAGAATTGGTTGGTGTGAGGAAAAACCCACACATTTGGTATCAGAAGTGATATGAGCAGAAAGAGATCATAGAGGTGGTAGTACTTCAGCATTGTGCTAAATGCTTTCCACGTGTTGTCTCACTTAATCCTCACCCAAACTACTATGAAGTGGATACCATCCTTGCCTCATTTTTTAGATAAGGCAATTGAGTTTTCCAATTAAGTAATGTACCCCAAATCCCACTGATCAAGTGAGGATTTAGACCCAGTCTAACCACCCTAAGATTATGTCCCTATTCTGATTCCCATCTCCTTTTCAGCATTTGAGAAACACCCTAACAAATTATTGCTGGTTATCACAGGACTTCGCCTCCCAAAGATCTTTATTAATAAGGATAATAGAAATTGCTCTGGGGTAGATTTAACTGCTGTCAAACAACCAGAGGTCAGACATTCTGGGGGCTATTATCTGCCAAGGAAAAGCAAGATTTCAAAACCTAAATTACACACAAGGCAGGCAATCCCAGAAAAGAAAGGGATTAATAGGCTTCCTGTGACTGTAACTACCACATTCTGCTTTGGGGAGCAATGTTTTATTACCATTTCACTGCTCTTTTAGTCCCTGAAGAACTCTTTCAACATGATTTATCTTAATTTAACTTTTTTCCCCCCAGAAAAACAAGCCGTACATTTCATTCAAGAAAAATGATTTGCAGTCGTGCCAAATTCACTCTGTTCATTTGCTTGTCCGTTTGTTCATTCATTTGGACACTAACAAATATTTACTGAGTGCCTAGTATTAAAAAAAAGTCATTTTTCTAAAATGCTATAAGCCTTTTCATTTTCAGAGGTGAATATATATGAGACTTTATGGCTGCATTTGTGCTCAGTATATTTTTTTATAACACACTGTCTGCTTTGACCAAAGTTGAAGTTCCATAGTAGAAATCTATTACCTCGGAGATGAAAAAGTGGCCAACAGCCAGTAATAATTAACAGTTTTTCAACATAAAGAGCAAAGAGTGTTCTATAAACTAAAAAAGAAAGACACAAACAAACAAGTACATTTCAAGCTTATGCACATTATAATTTTCAGGAAACTGGCTTTTTATTTCTTTTGTCGGCTGAAACTTCACCGTTAGCTCATAAGGGCTTATGGTTCTTTTGGTTAGCACCTGTTGAAGAAATAATAGCAGACTTACTGAAGGCATAGCAGCTGAGAGATGGCCAGGAGTGTTTCTACACAAAGGAAAGTTATAAATCTATCTGTAAGGAAAGAATACACATGACAGGGAAAAAATAATTTAACCATAGTTTTTCTGGGAAACTAGCAAGACTTGCTTCCTGCTCTGGATATGAGTTTACTGGATTGAGTCAGTTTCATTTTTACACTCAGACTAAAAAGGCATTTTGTCTTCTGGATTTTTTCCTGTGGAGAAGAAAAATGGATATCTATCATCTAGAAGAAGTAATAAAATAATAGTAATAATAATAGTGATAACAGCTATCATTTTTGAGAGTCTATTATATGTTTACATGTGAGACTTTAGGCTTGTTCTTTTATATATAATTCTTGCCCAAATCCCAGAAAGTAAGGATTATTATTCCTATTTTACGTATGAGAGAAATAAGGCGTAGAGGGGACTTATCCAAGTCTACAGGCCAGTAAGTAGCAGAGGTGGGATTCAGACCTGGATCTGGCTGCCACTGTACCTGTGCCCTTTCTGCCATGACGTGGTGCCTTTCCAACTGACTTTAGATTAGGAAAACACCCAACTTATTGTATGAAAATATTCCTTGTCAAATAATTGTCTTATGCAGAATTATATTTTAACTGGAAGTTAGTTAAATTTCTAGGCATAGATTCAATGCAAAATCATCACTGTCTTTTGTTTCAGGACTTCGTTTGTATTCTCTGGCCCAATGAACATTCTCTTTGCATGCCAATCACCTCCTCTGAAGGCATCTTTTGGTAGTTGAGAGATGTGATGTTTTAATTACGTTTCACAGATTACTAACTTTGTGGTCAATGAGCTAGACTGCTTCAAAATTGTTCTTATGAAACTTAGTTTTTGAAAATCTAACACCTTACAGTATCAATGAACAAATTGAAAAGTAAAACCTCAGGGTTCAGCCTCCCAAGATAGATGTCTGAAATTCAAAATCAGGTCTTAAACCCATCAACTGGCTCTTCACATTATTTCTAAGATCTCTTTTCTAAAATGCATCCTGAGGAAACATTGACCTGCAGAAACAACACTGAAGGACACTAGTTATTGGAACATGGAGATGGTAAAGTGATTAGAAAGCTAAGAAGATGATGAGGTCCAACTTCCCCAATTTAATGAGTGGTAGATAAGGAAATCAGCAGCAGCTGAACACCAAGAGGGAAGCAATTCCCTCTGGCTGCCAATATATCAACATCAGGCTTCTAAAGACAACGTTAATACACAAGCCAAAGAGTTTCCGAGTGTAAATAGAAGCTCAAATTTCGCCTTTGCCTGGGGCTGCCATTGAAAATGAAGCCTCTCATAAACAGTGCTTTTGGCATTCCTTTGACCCACTGTCGAACAACTTGGCAATGGAGAATGACATTTTAAAAAGTGAACACACATACAATGCTGGTGGGAGTGCAAACTGGTGCAGCCACTATGGAAAACAGTATGGAGATTCCTCAAAAAAGCAAGGATAGAACTACCATATGATCCAGCTATTCCACTGTTGGGTATTTATCCAAAGAACCTGAAAACACCAATTTGCAAAGGTACATGCACCCCTGTGTTCATTGCAGCGTTATTCACAATAGCCAAGACTTGGAAGCAACCTAAGTGCCCATCAAGGGACGAATGGATAAAGAAGATGTGGTATATATACACAATGGAATACTACTCAGCCATAAGAAACGATGAAATCCAGCCATTTGTGACAACATGGATGGACATTGAGGGTATAATGCAAAGTGAAATAAGTCAGAGGGAGAAGGTCAAATACCGTATGATTTCCTTCATTAAGTAGTAGATAATAACAACAATAAACAAACACATAGGGACAGAGATTGGATTGGTGGTTACCAGAGGGGAAGGGGGGAGGGAGGAGGGTGAAAGGGATAATTCGGTACATGTGTGTGGTGATGGGTTGTAATTAGTATTTTGGTGGTGAACATGATGTAATCTATGCAGAAATAGAAGTACAATGATGTACACCTGAAATTTTTACAATGTTATAAACCAATGTTACTGCAATAAACAAAAAATTAAAAAAAAAAAAGTGAACACACAAATTTTAATAGTGTAATTCCATGCCACCTTCCAACGCACTCTCTTTTAGACTAACAGTACTGTTTACTCTCTCGAAGTCCTACTGTTACTAGTCAGAGGATCTCTTCCCACAAGTCTGTTTCCCATGGAAACATTTCAGCCACCACAGACAATCACAGCAGGCCTTTTCTTTTTCTGCCTTCATTTCCCCTCTGATGTTTTATCACTTCTCCCACCACGTTGGTTTTCATTTTATATATCCTTCCATTCACTTTCACTTGCCCCTGCTTCTTTCCCATCCTTGGCATTTGCCTCTGGTTGGGTACACCTTATCTCTAGCTTCTCTCCACACCTCCACTGTTCAAGATGGGACTTTTAAGCAGTGTCAATGCTTCCTTAAAAATTCACTTTGATGAAAAAAAAAAAAAGTCCCTCGACTGATGATTGGATCAACAAGATGTGGTATATGTATATGCAATGGAATACCACTCAGCCATAAAAAAAGACAAAATTGTCCCATTTGCAACAACATGGATGGACCTGGAGGGTATTATGTTAAGTGAAGTAAGCCAGAAGGAGAAAGACAAATACTGTATGATCTCACTCATATGTGGAATATAAACCAACACATGGACAGAGAAAACTGTATTGTGGTTACCAGGGGCAATGGGGGTGGGGGGTGGGCACAAGGGGTAAAGGGAGACATATATATGGTGATAGACAAACAAAAATATACAACCCAAAATTTCACAATGTTATAAACTATTAAAACATCAATAAAAAAAATTCACTATGATCTTTCTTAATGAAGCAAGAGTGGCAAGGGGAAATTGATAACGAAGTATCTTATTAGCCTTAACATTGTATCCTCTTAACTGTTATCATCTCTCTATCTTAGAAAACACAGACACAACAATTCATCAATCAATAGTATTTATTGATGATGGATTGTGGTAGGATGCTCCATTTTTCCTGCTGATAGTTCCCGTTTTCTTCTGGGAAATCACTCCACCCCTATTCTCAGCCCATGCGTTTCAAGCATAGTTGACCTCCTCTCTCTTCCACCCTTCCAGTCCCAGAGTTTTCATGTGACCTAAGCCTAGTCGGAGGATTGCAGGTCCCTAGACACAGAGATTGGTTCAGGGGTAGACACTTGACCCAAGACTGGCCAATCTGAGGCAATGAAACTCAATTCCAGATCTTTTGTTGGAGGTGTTGAGAAAGAAGTACATCTTTTTCACTGGGGTTGATGAGAGGATAGCTGGTGGCCACCTTTGCCTCAGCAAGATAAGGATTTCTGAAGTGGAGCCAACACAGAGGGAGGCAGAGGACAGAGATAAAGAGAGAGACCTAGTCCTAATGCCATTGTTTGATTCTCTGTCCAGCAGTGCCTAGATTTTTCAGATACAGATTTGCTTAAACCAGTTTGATTTGGCTTTCTGTCCTTAAATCTGAGAGTCCTGGCTTACATAAACTATACAGTGGGCTGCTTATGGTTCTTACATTTCGTTGTACATTGGCAACACCCTGGGAGTTTTAAAAATTACTGATTTAAAAATATCCATGGACTGGTTTGTGTAACCTCATATATAGTGCTCACCATTTCAGGGTCTCACCCATGCTGAGCTCTGTTGTCATAACCATCAGAAAGCGCCTACTGAGTGTACCATTGTATGTAAATACACTTTCCAAAGAGAGTTTCATAGACAATTCTGGGATTGTCTTTTAGCCTGTTTTCCATTTTTTCATATTCCCCATCCTTTGAATTTAGTGCTCTTATGCCCTCATCTACCATCACAACTGTCTATTAGAGAAGAAGATCAGTGCCAGTTAAATATATAAATATATATATATATGTATATATATATATATTTCTCCTTTGACTTGGCTACAGTACAATGCTCAATTTCCTATTACTTCTCTGATGGCACACATTCAAAATGCAAATTGTCATACACAAAGGAAGAGTAACTCTTGAAATAACGCTTGGTGCCATCATCGAGGACTTAAGCTCACACTTGATTTAGTAGAGCTGCATAGACAGCAGAGTGTGACTGCTCAGCAAAAGCAACAGAATTTAGAGTCAGCAAATTTTGTAGGAGAGTAAGTTTAAACAGGAAACAGAAATGGTGAGTATAAGATGGTATAACTGAACTTCAACCTTTCACAGAACCAGGGGCTTTGGAAGAGACTATCAAGATTATACACATTAAATCCTTCATTTGACAGAGATCAGAGACTTGCGCAGGTCAATAAGCATAGATGGGAATCCAGAGTTTTTATTCTCCCAACTATACCCACTCTTAATCGCCCCACTCTTGAATCATAAGCCCCATGATTATATAAAATAGATGTTAAGACTTCCATACTCCCATCTTCCTGTCTCTGCTTGCTTTCCATTAGTAGTCTTCAGTATTTTCTTCAGAATCTCATTCCACAGGGTTTTAAAAATTAAGTTATATATGTAGGTATTCATGTGTGTATGTATAATGGATATTGGAGCAGACTGTGTTTTCAAAAAATGGTTGCACCAATACATATCTTATTCCATAGTTATTTTAATAACGTGACATTGACACTCTCCATCAAAAGGTGGGGTCTATGTTCTCTCCCCTTGACCCTGGGAGGACTTGTTAACTGTTCTCAACTGATAGAATGTGGTTAAAATGACAGTGTATGACTTTTTGAGGTGAGGCCACAGAAGGAGATGTGCATTCCAATTGGCTCTTGCCCTTGAGATATGTACCTTAGGAACTCTGAGTCAATATGTAAGAAGTTACACTGCCCTGAAGCCCGTTACGCTGGTAGATCACATGGAGAGACTGCACTGAGGAACAAAGATGCCCAAGGGGCCCCAGTTATTCCAGCCTTCAGTTTGAGTCTTCCGAGCCCTGCCTGGGCTCAGACAAGCGAGTGAGCGAACACCTGGATGATTCTACCTCCCAATTTGTGAGCTACTCTAGCTGATGCCGAGAGGAGTAGAAACAAGCTATTTCTGCTGAGCCTACCCAGCTTGTAGATTTGTGGGCAAAATAAATGTTTTCATTATTTTAAGCCAATACATTTTAGGGTAATTTGTTATGCAGCCATAGTACCTGGAACAGACATTATTCCCTTTTGCCAGTTAAGAGTACTAATTTGTAAGGACAAAGTGTTAAAGAGGCTGCCTGTCAGGATGATTTGGGTGTTAGTAAAACTAAGAAAGAGAAACTTCAAGCAGGCAAGGACTTAAGATTCCATGGTTTACGTTGGAGGAAACTGGGTGAAGGATACACAAATCCTTTCTGAACTAACTCTGCAACCTCCTGTGAATCTAAAATTATTTCTAAAAATATTTAAAAGTTAAAAATATGTATAAAAAAGATACCATGGTTTAATATCCAAATGCAAATCACATGCAAGGCCAATGAAAATGCAACAGGAAGGGAGAAAATAAGAAAGACGAAGAAAACCAAACACTCACCATAAAGTGCATTTTAAAGAGTAAAAACTATTGCTAAAAAAGGAATAAAAGAAGAGCAAGACTACAGAAAGGGAAGAGAAAAGAGTAAAGATAGGATGTGGTCAAGTGACACTGTGGCTTACAGGCTTGGTCACTTAAGGTGATAGGGATTCCAACTAGAAGAGCCCAGCCAGGGTCCCAGCAGGAAGCAGAGGCACATTCAAAAGGGTCTGAAAGGGTTAATCTCCAAAATATATATAGAACTCATGCATCTCAACAGCAAAGAAACAAACAACTCAGTCAAAAAATGAGCAAAAGATCTGAACAAACATTTTTCCAAAGAAGATACAAAGATGGCCAATAGGCACGTGAAAAGATGTTCAACGTTATTAACTATCAGGGAAATGCAAATCAAAACTACAATGAGATATCACCTCATGCCCGTCAGAATGGCTATAATTAACAAGACAGGAAACAACAAGTGTTGGAGAGGATGTGGAGAGAAGGGAACTCGCATACATTGCTGGTGGGAGTGCCAACTGGTGCAGCCACTATGGAAAACAGTATGGAGATCCTTCAAAAAATTGAGAATAGAACTACCATATGATCCAGCTATTCCACTGCTGGGTATTTATCCTAAGAAGAAAAAAACATGAAAGTATAAAGATATATGCACCCCTATGTTCATTGTAGCATTATTCACAATAGCGAAGACTTGGAAACAACCTAAGTGCCCACTATTGGATGAATGGATAAAGAAGATGTGGTATATATACACAATGGAATACTACTCAGCTATAAAAAAGATGAAATCTTGCCATTTGCGACAACTTGGATGGACCTTGAGGGTATTACACTAAGTGAACTAAGTCAGATGGAGAAAGTCAAATACTGTATGATCTCACTGATAAGTTGAAGATAAAAACAACACCAACAACAAACAAACACATAGAGACAGAGGTTAGATTGGTGGTTACCAGAGGGGAAAGGGGGAGGGAGGAGAGCGAAAGGGGTGATAGGGTACTTGTGTGTGGTGATGGATGGTAATTAGTCTTTGGATGGTGAACGTGGTGTAGTCTACACAGAGATTGACATATCATGATGCACACCTGAAATTTATATAATGCCATAAGTCAATGTCACCTCAATAAAAAAAAAGGGTGTGAAGAGTTTAACGAAGGGATATTTTAAAAGATGTGGGCAGAATCAAGGGAAGCAACAAAGAACAGGGAAGCTCCCCAGGGCCAGCAAGCGGAAGAGAGCCACTATCACCCCCAGGCCTGAGAGGAGGAAGGAAGGGGTTAACTGAAGCCAAGCAATAGCTAGAGATGGAAAGGGCCACCAGCAAGTGCTGTGGCCTCGGGTGGAGGAACACAGCTATTCCATCTGGCAGCCAGAGGCCAGGAGAATAAATGCCCTAAGCGCTTTTCCCCCACCTTCCAGTCTCCTGCGAACACCTTCCGCTGCTCTAGCCCGTGCCTTCTCAATGTGGGGCAAACATTTGTTCTTGGCAGGGCAAAAGGAAAAAATCCTCTCTAAAATGCCACAGTACATAAGCAGATATACAGCATATTTGTGGTATTAAAATTTCATGGTTGGGGGGTAGAATTAGGACAAAATGCTTAAAACAGCTCCTGTAGGGAGCATGATAATAAAAAATAGTTTGAGAAACACTGGCTAACCAACTTGAAGCTGGAGGATGATGGAGTCCAGTCAATGTAGCCCCTTGGCAATTGAGCACGCAGGGCTTATTAAAATCCTTGCTGAGTGCTGCCCTTAAGATCTCTGTGTTCACACACGGGAACAGATGGCAGTTACGATGGTTAATCCAAGGAAACCATCTATTCCGCAGAAGACTTGATGAGGAGAATTAGCAAAATGACTCTCCTTGCCATCAGTCTAGAAATTATCTTTGTCTTGGATGTATTTTAATACTTACAAAACATGAGTAGATAATTCAAGGGCATACGTACGTGTGTATATTAACCCTTGGCTAATTTGTTAATTTGGTATTATAAAATGAACAAGCAAAATTTGACAACAGGGCTGAATTAAGACTTTCAGAAATCCTAAACACCAAATGGATTTTGGTACTCTCCCCCATCATCATATCAAAATATTCTTTTTCTTTTTTTTTTTCACCTGGCTCAATCTTCACATGTGCTTTAAAAGAAAACTTCTCTTTGAATTACCTGATTGTAATAGTCTGGCTAATTAATCAAAGCTGAGATTTTCCCGTTTATTTTTGGTGGCCCTGCTTTACTGATATTCAGAGCACAGGTTTAGTCTCGATATTGGTAGTACAGTAAGCTTTGACCAGTAACAGCAGTACTGTGTATCTTCTGACCACATAGCTCCATTATTATCAAAGGCATTATTGCCATAACTTGTTAAACAGAAAATGTCTTGGTAAAATTTTCTGTCAGTCTATGTTTTGGGATCTAGCTTTAACATGTAGAGCATCACTTTGTGTTTTCTATTAAGTTCATATAAGGAGCACTGTGTCACTTTGATAGTGAAAAAGGCCACCATGGCTGCCTGATACCCAGGAAATAAAGTCCAAACTCCTCTGCCTGTTTCTCCAAGTCCTTCTTAATAGAGCCTCCATCCACATCCACCCTTAACTCCAACCCCTTGGCAACTTGAGCCCTTTGCTTCTGTTCCATGTTCCAAAACTCTTCCTTTTCATATCTCTCTGTAGCCATCCTCATATTCCTTTTCTCCTGCAGATTCTGTGTCCTGTGGAGAACCCCTGGGGACCTTGGTAAAAGTTTAAAGGCCCACTCCCTATCCTCCTTCCATGATCCTGGGCCTCAATGTCCTGTCTAAACTCTCCAGGTGTCTCTGAAATCAAAAACCCAAAGTTTGAGAACATTGGCCTATGGTCTGGCATTTGTAGGCCTGATTCTTCAGAGTTCCTACCCAGGTAACATTCTGCAAGTTTTTCACTTTTCTATGCCTTACTTTCCTCATCTGTAATATGGGGATTTTACAGTGCATGCTCAATAGTGTTGTTATAAAGATTAAATGACTTAATAAATGTGAAGTGCTTAGAACAATGTCTGGCATAGAATAAGTGCACGAAAAACCTTAGCTAAAAGGTCCCTTAGGAGTCTGGAAGTGTTAATGCTGCTGTCTGAAGTGCCTAATCAATACAGGCAGGGCAGTTACTCTTGGGGTTGAGAGAACCTGTGGTGCTGGACCAAATTCTCAGGAGACAGGATGCTTAAACCCGTGATTCTCAACAATGACTGCACATTAATTCATCCAAGGTTCTTAAAAAATACTGTTGCCTGGGTTCTACTGTCAGAGATTGGACTTCACTGGTCAGGGGTGGGACACAGAAATAGGCACTTTTAAAAGCTCCACATGATTCTAATGTGTAGCCAGGGCTGCTTAGGCAGCCTGACCAACATTGGCTTAGGCAGTTGATCAACAATTAACCTGAAACAGTTTTTTTTTTTTGGAGTATCATGATCATCAATCATCTTCTTTTTGAAATGCCAGTTACTAGCTAATTAGCCACTATCTGTAACCATGCTGGGCTATACACTGGAAGGTTTAACCAAAATTGGGCAGTTTATTCTCTTGGCCAGAGTTGTAATGGAAAGTTTATAGGAAGACCATTCTGGCAATTGGAGGAAGTCATTGAGAAGGCTTAATCTTGCCAATTGGTTCCTCACATTTAAACATCAAATAATCTGGTGATTCTATTTTATATAATGTTTCTCAAATTGTGATCCATGCACCTGGCACCCAGATCTGGTTTCTAAATACTGTTCTCCACCATCAGGAACCAAAGCTTTTTGAAGAAATGGCTGATGTCAGGGCTGGGGCAAGGAAAGTATAAAATGAGCTTGAGCATCTGGTTGGCCAGAAAGCAAAGAAGTGCTCAAAGAATGATGAGGACATGTCAAAAGGACACAGAAGCCACCTTGAAGGAGTCCTTGATAGTAATGGATTATAATCCATTGAACAGAATAGAAAACCATGAGTCCATAATGATATAAATTAGCAAATAAATGAATAAATTGGAAGATTGATGAAGAATGGGAGTTTCACATAGTTTCAGTGTACCTCCCCACGTGACGCACGTTAAGACCGGTGAAAAGAGTAGCTGTGCCGTTGAGGAGACTTGCAGACACCACTTTAATCAGATAATCAATGTGAACTGATCAGTAATGGGCGGATGTGAAATTTGGGGCACCTCATGGCATACTGTGAACACAATATCATTTCAAGAAACTTCTAAGAACACTTCTAAGAACACAATATCACTTCTGTGATAGTTCTGCAAAGATGCATAACTTGAATTCAGTCATGAAAAATCATCAGACAAACCCAAATTGGAAACATTTTACAATATAACCGGCCTGCAATCTTCAAAAGTGTCAGGGTCAATAAAGTCAAATTAAGGCTGAGGAACTCTTCCAAACTGAAGGACAGTGGAGACATGACAACAAAATGAAACATATAATTTTGAACTGGATCTTTTTGTTATAAAGGACATTATTGGGAAAACTAGCGAAACTTAAATGGGGTCTGAAAATTAGATGGTAGTAATGTATAAATGTTCATTTTCTGATTTTGATCTTGTATTGTGCTCACCACATAAGAGGACTGGCCATGTTTGCAGAAATGCACAGTAAAATATTTGGGGGTAGAGGGCACCAGATCTGCAACTTATTCTCAAATTGTTCTGGAAGAGAATGGCTCTTTTATTGTACTTGCAAATTTGCTGTATGTTTGAGATCATTTAAAATAAAAAGCAAGTACATAAAAAAAATGGCATTCCAAAGATGCATTGTATAGAGTTAAAATGCAGTTTTCTGATTTGGTGGAGGGCTAGGACTGGGGGCAAGAATCCACATTTTTAGCATTCACCACAAGTGGCAGCTTGAGACCCAGGAAATAAGAAGCTCCCCCAAGAGCAGCAGTTTGCAACTGTTCACCCAACATTCAGCAAAACCACCCCACTTTCACCCCACATTCTAGAGCCAGCCTCTCCATCCCTCCATCTCTTTCCTCCCAACTTCTGTATCTACTTTCTTTCTGCCAGCAGCAAAGATTGTTAGAGATCAGTGGGGAATTCTCAGGATAGAGAATTGAGAAATGATTTGAGTGATCTGCTAGTGTTTTTGCCCAAGAATAGAGTTCTACGGTTTTCTGTGTACTATTCCTCGAGCAGGGCAATCCTGGGAGGTGAAGTCATTTCCTAAGACTGCCTCTGACGGCTCCAGAGTGACAGGAGTTAGGAGAGAACAGGCATGCTTGAGCAAGGCATTAGGAGAGCGTGGTGTGCGTCCAGGTAACTCGAGCGTGGTGGACAGTTTTAAGACTCTCTCTGGTATAGTAAGAAAGCACAACTTTGGTACACTAGAAAATTGAAATCTAGAAATATAATGGCAAAGTTCTAACATGAAAATCTAATACTGTTCAAATAGCAATGCTTCTTCTTAAAGACAAAACAAAACAAAATGTTTCTCTGCTGAAAAATTAGAATCTAATATTATAAACTATCAAATGTCCTATTGGCATGGTGCCAGCATTGAAAAAAATCACTCTAATGTTTTAACTCTATAAACCCAGGGTTTGAGTTTTCAACAAAACAAAGATGACTGCATCTTAGTGATGCATTCTTTATCCTCAGTTTTGGAAATCAAAATAGACAGTTAAACACATATAGTCTGAATTACTCACAGACACCCAAGACTTAAAGAAAGATACTTTAACAAAATTACTAAAAGACCCATTGTATATGCCCCGATAAGCTGCTCTTTTCCTTTGGGTTTTTAGCGGCTAATTTAGGATCACTTTTCATGTGAGTCCTCCAGACAATTTTAGAGGACATTTAAGAGAAAGTTTCCCCATCTGTGAAATGAATAGTTGCCATAGATGTTCTCAGAGGCCTATTTGGCTTTTAAAACCCACAATTCAGAGCTTTAGAATTAAGGATGGAAATATTTACTGGGCATGAAGAAAAGAGCTCATAAAGAATCAATTTTCATGAATTTGATGGTTACGTAGAATTACCGAATTTGATATCTAGAAGGGGCCTCAGGGATATTAGGTGAAGGATTTGATCATGTGCCTAAGAGATGAAAATAGAATTCAGGTGTACTGGTTTCCACTAGCTTACAGCTATATTTTCCCTTTCCTTTCTTCTCTCCTCCTTCCCTTCACACTCCCTTCTTTCCTTCCTTTCTGCCTTTCCTCCTTCCCTCCTGGGCTTGGCAATCCTAAACAACAGCAATTCCACCATCATCCACTAACTAGGAAGTTGCTAATTGAAAATAAACAAAATAACAACAATAACAAACACCTCTTGTGGGGAGGAGAACATATTGGAATCCATAGTATCTAAATCATCTAAAACAATCTTATTTTCTGTGAGTTATCTTCTTTGCTAATACTCTTGTGTTTTCTCTTTTTCTGTTGTTATTTATGAGAATTTCCTTCGTGTCTGAATATTTTGCTTTTGCTTAATTGGAAATTTAGCCCTAGGTTGGGCTACTGTGGCCTTCCTTGGGAGGGACAAGCAAGAACTACCCGTACAGACATGATGGAGGATTGGAATGGGAAGCATTCTTTTTTCCAGAAAGTTTGAATTAAGTATAAGCACGGTACAACTCCTAGTCTAGATTCAATAGTTGTGGAGAGGGTATAAAAGACTCATCCTTGACTCCTCTCTTTCTCTCAGATGCCACATCCAATGTCAGTGAACTCTGCTGGCTTTACCTTTAAAATATGTCCAGAATCAGACCAACTCTCACTCTTTCCCTTCACTGCTACTTGGGACAAGCCACCAGCCTCTCTTGCTCCAGTAGACTATCTCCCTGTTTCTGCCCTTAGCGCCCTGACCCCAGTCCATTTTCAACACAACATCCAGATGATTCCTTTTAAAGTGTAAGTAAGATCATATCCTGTCTCTGCTTAAAATGTTCTATTTTCACTTCACTCAGAGAAAAAGCCAAAGTTCTTACAATGGCCCACAATGCCCTAGGCAGTGATTCTCAAAGTGGAGCCCTCAGCTCAGGGCACCAACCACCATCACCTGGGGAATTATTAGAAATGCAAATTCTTGGGCACTTCAGACCTCCTGAATCAGAGACTGGGTTTAACATGCCCTGAGGCGATTCTGATGCACACTCAAGTGGGAGACCCTCTCCACTACGGGATCAGCCCCCAGTGACCTCTCCAGTTACTCACATTGGCCTTGCTTTTCTTAGGACAAGCCAGACCTCTTTCTCATTATGGCTTTGGTACTTGCTGTTTCCTTTATTGGAACACTCTTTTCCCAGATAGCTGCTCAGCTTACTTTTTTATGTTCTTCAAGTTTCTTTTCAAATATCAACCTAATACTCAGTAAGGTCCAGCATATTTGAAACTTTAACCCATCTCTCTCTCAAGTCTCCCCCCACCACCAACTTATATACACATGGGCATCCCCCATCTCCTCCTCCCTGCTTGGTTTTTCTGCATGGCACCAGGCTTGGGGGCTCTCATGAATTTGCTGTCAAGATGTCAGCCATATCTGCAGTCAACTGAAGGCTTGCCTGGGGCTGGAGGATGATTCCATCCAGGATGGCTCACTCAAAAGACTTGTAGATTGGTGCTTGCTGATGGCAGGAGGCGTCAATTCCTGGCCACGTAGCCCTTTCCACAGTGCTGCTGGAGTGTCCTCAGAACATAGCAGCTGCCTTAC